CACTCAACATAGAAAGAATGCCTTTTCAGGTTACATGAAAGGTCAAAATAGTGGCATTCAATTTTCATTATGGAATTAAGACAACAAATTAGGGGCGGAAATAAAATGAGCAATGAAAAGAGTTAAGTTAGGGGTTAAGCTTTTTCACAAATGGATAGAAAAAAGTAGTATTTGGGTAAAATAAGAAAAAAACAATTCCTTAAGTAATAACTTGGCTTTGTGAAAAAAAAAAGTGAAATTTGCACATACAAGCACAATCATAATTCACCCCAAAACAATTTAGATTCCATCGCATATGCTCACTGGTTCGCCCAAGCTACTTCATCATAATGACAAGAATCGAAAAGACCAGCAGTCTTCATGCTAAAGAAGAGACTCTAAATTTCTATGATCAAATTTGCCTCAACCAATACAATGCATAGAGGCTAAAATTGAATCGTTCCATTGAACTATCAAAGATTCTAACTAATTTGACATATATATGTATATAAACATTATCCTAATTAAGAAACTAATCAAATACGAGTGTTTCAAGTCATTTGCCATCTCATTCATTGAAAACATTATTAGACAACTAGACTATACTTATCTGGAGCCATTGTTGACCAAATGACATTCCTCTATGACCCACTGGTCTAAGCATCATGGTGGTGTTTGAGCAGGATGATTAGAATGGCCACCATGCCGATAGTTGGCTTCTCCTTCCTTGGTCCTGTTGGTTGTGCTCCTGTCTCCTAAAGCTATCACGGTCCCTGCTGCTACTGGCATTCCTTCCTCCACTGGAACTTCCCTGTCCTGGAGTTGGCAGCTCAACACGGCAAACAGGACAAGAGTTGTGCTGAACCAACAAGGAACAATACAGTCAGAGTGATAAATATGGTTACAGGGCATTTGCCTAGCCTCAGACCCAAGTTCGAATCTCTCTTTACAGACTGGACAGTGTGAATCAGAGTGAAGATGTGCTCGTGTGATCTTAATGGTAGGCATTGCATTGATCGAGGAATGTGAGGCTGCAGGAGGACCTTGGTGATCATTCATAGTCAGCTGTTGAATGAATGCTTCGAGTCCAGGGGCCATCAATAAACCACCGAAATCAACAGGCCTAGTATCCCCTCTAGGACCATGAAACATCAAAGAAGGGCCAGAATTGAAAAAATCTTGACTCCATTCAGGAAATAGTGCAGTATCAGACCTTTCTCTAATATCAAAGTTTGGGTACGGCCCAGCCATTCTCTGCGTCATGAAAGCACGCATGGCATCAAAAAGGTAGGGCATTCGATGAAACTCTTCCATAGCATTAAATGGTTGAGAGGCATGCATCTCGAGTTCTTGCACAAAGCCTTCATGACAGTAAGGGCAAATGACTTCCCTCCCTTCAAGCACAATCGGATGTCCACATTCATAACACCAATGTGTTGCTCCACTTGACATGCTTTTCTTCCAGGCTTCTAAAGGGTAAATCTGCCTTTAAAAGCCTATGTGCTGCACCAAATTATACTACCCTACATGTAATAGCAACCAATATAAAAAATTTATAAACTAAATATCAATAAAAAGAAGGTTAATTTAGATGACTCAATATGCCAATTGTCTCAGCTGGTTGAATGTTAACTCTTTTTTGACATCCCACTGGATTTTCATCCATTAAACCTGCACACACACAGATACACACCCAGAGACCAAACCATTATATTACAAAAACAAAACCAAGGCTTCCCATCTCCTGATCCGAACCCTAACCTTGTTACTCAGTCATAAACTTCAATAATTACTACTCTCATCGTTGAAAGAATGGTTTTGTATCAACAGATGCTTAAATTGCATGTAAATGATACTAAGATACTGCATGCAACCTAAAAAAAAAAAATTATGTGAGTGCACGTACAAATTATATTTATATATTATGTGAGAAGGGTACCAAATATTTAGAAAAAGATTCATATTAGACAAACAAACCATTAATGTCCAGGCCGTAACCATTCCCAGCACTAAAAACAGAGAAGCTACTGATACGAAGTAGACCACACTTTAACTCATATCATAAGGCGTCAGAACAAATTTGATAGCTATTACAGTGCACAAAACACAAGTGAAAAGAGCAAGATAAAAATATTAACTTTGAGCATAAACTAAGCTGATGGGACTAAAAATGACAGCCTCAAACCCAACAAAGTAAAAATGATTCGTTGATGGCTAGTTAACAAGGAAATGCAATGGCTTGTGTGTTGTGATTGAAAAAAGAATGCTAATACGAGGTTGGAGAGAACAATACCTCCTGGATTGGTTAAGTACATTTTTTTTTTATTCTAGTAAGCAACAATTGATTCATCGAGGCATGAAATTTTTCTTGAAATATTAGGAATGTAGTTGATCATATAATGTATGGCAAATAGGCATGGCAAGAGGTTTATTTTGTTTAATTATTTAAGATATTGTACTGCTAGTAAGGTAGATTGTTCAACTTAGGAGAAAACAAAAACACAGGTCTGGGTAACACTTCAATAGTAATAAGGTCACTAATTCAAACCTTTGACAGCTTAAGGTATTGTCACCAAGGCCTTTGAACTGAGAATCAACAAGTCATTTGATCCGCATAACAGAACAGAATTAACTGCAAATTAAATACAAACGTGATTTTGTAAATAAAAAGGACACTTGTAAATCTGAAGTGAAAGAATAATAGCAAGCAATGAGTAGTGACAGTAGAACTACACATAATAAACACTGTCTATCTCACTTTTAATACAGAGAAAGAGAAATCATCTTCAACTGCGGATACCATACGAAAATTGTGAAAAACTTCATTAGTTTCATGATCATAGGCTTACTGAATTTTTTATGCAACTTAAATTGACCTGGGAACACAGGGATTGGATGCAAAAAGCCCAGCTCGGTGGTTGCAATGGGGTAAGATTAAAAATATATATATATATATAATATATTGCATTTGATTTCAGTTATAAGCACAATAAAGAACCGTAAGAACGCAAAGAAACAAACTGCTTCGTGTTGATTTGAAAATAATTCATAACCCCAACGAATTAAAAGGAATAATAAACTTCATGCAACAGGAAAAATGAAATTCAAGCACAAACAAGCATTCGTTATTAATCGTCACTGTCAAAGACAGTAAGCACAACAACAGGTAGATACACAAAACGAGACAACAAAAATAACAACAAAAGGCCAGGTGTAAGGAAAAGCAAGTACAAATCAAACCATTGTCAAAGAACGAAAATTTCAACTCGGGGTCTACAATCGTAAAATCTACTAAAAACCCAATGGTTCTAATTCTAAATGACCAGATTAAACTCTTCCCCATAGAAAAAAAAGACTAAAACGTGGAATCCGCATGAGTGATCAGTGAACTAACCAGAATTAGGGAGGATATGGGAAAAAGAATTCAGAACAGAGAAGCGAGGGAGCAATAGTACGAAGAGTGACGACTACGAGTGAGTCTAGAAAGACGAAAAAGAGAGTTCAGGGAAAAGTGAGTTTTTTTCGGTTCCTTTTTCTATTTGGAAAATGAGCCAAAGAGGCTTTAGGCTTCTACGACGACGACGACTGCTGTTGTTATTATTATTATTATTATTATTATCATCATCATTATCATCATTATTTCCTAAAGGAGAGGTATTTAAGAGAGTTCAATCAATTTATTCGTTGAAATTTTATATGCGTGTTCTCTAAAAATTGTATTCTTCAATGCTTGTTATGCCGTTTTCACGAGGAATTTGGAGCATAATCTATTCTATTTATGACTTGTAATTAATATCAATTTTATGTTTTATGTTAATTGATTAAAATAATAATGAAATTTACTTTTATTCTAATTTTTCAAGTCCAATTAGATAAGAGTTAGTACATAAATCAAATTCATTGAAAATAAATTAAAGATTGTACATCTTGCTTTTACCAACCAAAAATATATTAAATATAATTGTACATATTAAAAAACATTAAATATATTTATCTTATTTAAAAAAAACTATCTAATTAACTAAAATTAAAAAGTGTACTTGACTATGAAGTATGTAAAGAAGTCACATGCCACGTGGACACCAGATAGTCAATGGATCACAATGATTCTGCTGGATCAATGGAATCGAATTATCTGGAGACTCAAGTCGGTGGTGCTCGAATGGATATTTACTTTCATCTTGGTTGAAAGAAAAAGATTGAGAAAAATGAAAGAAAAACAATAAAGGGCTAGTATTTACTTTTCCTCTTGGCAGAGGAGGAGGAAGATGGAGAAAAATGGACTCTCAGAATTAGGATTTTTTTTTTTCCTAGCGGCAGTTAACCCACCCCAACAAGAATTATATCATCATTTTCCCAATAAATTATAAACTTCTTCAAACTGTACTATTATTCTTTTTAATATTAAAATTCAATTAAAATATATAAAAAATTACTTTAATTGCACGAAATTTAATGAATAAATACATTGTTGCCTCAGTATTTTTCAAAAAACATTCAGCATCCTAAATTATGGATTAAAATATACCCTTAAAAGTAATTAACATATTTGCCCTTATCATTAAAATCTCAATCGATCAACACCGAAGTTCCAATTAACATTTTCTAACATTAAGAATTTGACAAGGGCATAAATGGTTTATTTCAATACTTTAATAGCCAAATTGCTTCAATCAATAGTTTAAAATGTGTGCTCCTCAAAATATTTCAAAAACAAAAATACACCATTACCCATATATAATACATGAGCAATGGATTTAATGAAGATAAATTACAGGGGCCGACTTGAAATATAGGGACTTGGCACAATAAGATGAAAATATAAGGATAAAACAAATAACTTTCCCTTAATAGAAAAATATTTTTTAGAAAGAAAATGAAAACACACCTACCCTAAATTCCATCCTACAACCGAATATGCACTTACAATTCATTTCAATAATCTTTTCAGAAAAATTTCCATTATTAGGACCCTCATGGCCACATCTATCATATATAAACATAAATTTTGAAACCTCATCTATCACTTTTCCCAACCAAAACCATAAAAGCTAAACACTTTGCCCTTTAATGTCGATCCCATACATCTAGGAAGCGTTTTACAAGGGCACTATTTGAAGGAGCACCATAACAGCACAATCACAAATACTCAATATATTTCTTCTACTTCTCATGATTCTAGCAACAAAAGACCACCATTGAAACAGAACAAACACAAGATGATAAACAAGGGTTTTTAACCAAAAGCAGATAAATCAGCCGCTTGAAAATGGCCACACTTATGTCCAACAAGAAACCTTAGATTTTGTTGAACGCAACAATGTCACAACTTTGAACATACTCACTGCATGGCTCAACTGTGAGATGTTCCTCAATAAGGGAATCCACAGAGACCAGGTCGTCAACAATGGTCATCATGATCTGCATCTTCTTAATACCGTAACCAACCGGCACCAGTTTGGCTGCAAATTTGAAACAAAACATTTGTTACCATCATACATTTCTTTTTCAATGGGTCATAACAATGAATAAAGTGAATGTGATGAAATATTCAACATACATGCTCCCCACAGAAGCCCGGGCATCTCAATGGAACGAACAGCCTCTTCCAGCTTCTTCATATCTGTCTCGTCATCCCAAGGCTTCACATCAAGCAAAACAGAGGACTTCCCGCCTACAAAATGTAGATAGATGACAATATTACTCACAGCAATCAGATAGTAGAAAGAGAATTTTAGTTAACTATAAACCTATAATAACTAAAATCTAAGCATTAAACTAAATGAACCTCCCAAATGGCAGGACCAGTAGGTGGATTAATGAGTAGATGCTTCATGTACAATCAGCTGAAGTCGAAAGGAAGCTTACTCTCTTTCTTCTTGGAGGATTCCTTTTTAGTAGCCTCTCTTGCCTCTGCTGCTGCCTTTTCCTCCTCTGTCTCGTCACCAAACAGATCAAGGTCATCGTCATCATCAGCAGGAGCAGCCTGCTAATACAGAGCAATCCAGTTAACAGAAGTAATTCGCATGATTGCTAGTACAGTACAATAATTAGTTTATCCAGGACAGTTTTCGTCAAGTCTATCACAAAATCTCAAAATCCAGGCAACAACCTAAGTGTTTCCACATTATATTACAATTTATCTCATCAAAATCACAATTTTCACCTTTCTAATTTGCTCATCAAAACAACAGCCCTTCTAGTTTTGAAATTAAAGCTATGTCGGACCCTTTAGTTTGCTCATTCTGGCCTGTTTGGTCTAATGATGGAAAAGTGCTCTCTTTCCATTGTACCAACTACAAAATGAGATGTATAATATTAAAAATTGCCTTCTACTAAATTAATACTCATAGCTTCAAGCTTCATATTACTTCATCCCATAACTTTTTCCGTTGCATTTTCAGGTGTACTTAGTGCTAGGAACTGAAGAAAGACTAAATCAACAGGCCAAACAAAAAGGACCCTACATCCAATTCGTTTATGCACATATTGGCATAATCATTAGCATGTTAACATGGTTGATTAAATAAAGGAAATCAGACCCCGAAAAACCCTAACAAGTAACATAGTCAAACAATTATTAAAAGAAAATAAGAGAAACAACAAAGAAATAACAAAAGACAAAATCAAGTGAGATGCACACCGCCTTGGCAGGACTAGCTTCAGCTGGAGCAGCTTGGCCGCTGAATTTCACCCCTTGAGCTTTTCCAGGGAAGCTGATCACACAAAATCAATATCAACTTTCAAATTGAGTACGATTGAATAAAATAAAGGAAACCTAGCCCATCCGAACATTGCAAAGAAGTAAAGGAACAAACCTTTCAGCAAGACGTGAAGAGACGGCATCGTACCACTTGCTGGCATTGGGAAAAGCATCGCTTGGGTTCTTCGAAACAAAGGCGTAGACCTTAATGTCATCCTTGGTCAACTGATCGCTGAAAATTCAATCAGAACCATAAGAGATTGAGAATGGAAGAAATCTCAAGAGAAAGAGTTCAAAAACGAAACTCAAATCGGAGAAAGTTACCCAGAAATGTAGGTCTTGCCAAAGAGGAATTCATTAAGGGACTTGAGTCCTGATTCTGTATGGAGACCTGATAAGGTGACGGCCATTCTGAGAGTGGAAGGGTGGGATTCAGAAGGGCTCTTAAATCAATCAGCACGCAAGAGGGAAGCAAGAGAACGGATCGACGGTTTAGTATTTATATGATGAAATGAGACAGTGCAAACCCTAGATATGCTGTGAGCGAAGCAGTAACCTCAAATAGGATATTCTTGAAAAAAATAACAATAATGACCCCCTAAAAATATTAATCTTAATTAATGAATATGATTTTTAAATGAAATAAAAAATTATAGTTTATGAGGTAGGATTTATTAACATTACTTAAAGATTGACTAATCTAACTTAAAAAAATTATTAACATATATTATAAAAATATGAAACCCCACTTAAGAATTAATTGTTTAACAAAAAGCGCTATTTAAAAATTCACTAACTTGACTTAAAAAAATTTATAATATATATTGTACAAACATAAAAATTTACTTAAAAATTAATTATTTAATAAAAAATATCACTTGAAAATTTACTAACCAAACTTAAAAAAGATTGTAACGTATATTGTAAAAAAATGAAACCCCACTTAAAAATTAATTGTTTAACAAAAAGTAACTTGTCCAAATTGAAATTTTTTTTGTTAAAAAATTGATTCTCAAATGAAGTTTTATATTTTCATAATATATATTAGAAATCTTTCAAGTCAGGTTAGTAAATTTCTAAGTGACACTTATTGTTAAACAATCGATTTTTAAGTAGGGTTTCATATTTTCACAATATATATTACAAATTTTTTCAAATTAAGTTAGTGAATTTTCATGTAACGTTAGTGAATCCCACCTCATAAAATATATATTTTTATCTCAATTAAAGACCATGATCCTTAATTGAAATTTTAAAATATTATGGTCTTAATTGAGATTAATATCTTTAGAGAATTCTTAATTATCATTTTCCCATACTCTTTCATGCGCTGCCCTGAACCTCTCACAGCATTAATAATTAATAATAAGAATAAGATCATTTTTTATTAATTTAAAATTATAATTCTGATTCTAATTATTTCATAAAATTAAATTTAATACCATATTTTAATAAAATGATTAAAAAAGAACTATTTCGAAACTTGTGTGAGGGTGTTTTACTTTTTTTTAAAAAATGCCAATGATAAAATAATTTATTTTATTTATTTCTTTTTTATTTGATTTTTGAAAGGGAAAAAACAGTTCGTGTTCTTCTTATTATTTTAAACAGTTATTTTTATTTTTGTTATTTTATAAAAGTAGGTATAAAAACATTTTCTTTTTCCCAATTTTTTATTTTTTTTATCTAACTGTATTTTATTCCTTCTCTATTCATTTTTACACCATAATTTTAGAAAGTGTTACTCCTTCGTACCGAATCTCATTCCTCAATAAAGTAGTTATTTACTTTTAAACTAACCTTATATTTTTATATTTACCCTTATTAAACATCCTACAATAAATATAAACTTATTATCAATAGGGGCACCTTTGTAAAAAAAGACAATGGCTACATATTAAAAAAGTAAAAATGCCTTACATTTTTTAACATTCAACTCCACAGAAAATACCTTATATTTTTGAATGGAGGGAGTACTCTTTAGACTTTTGATCATCTAGTTTTAATTTCCATAAACTTGCACTTAAAATTTTAAATTTTACATGTAATCATCAGATTATATTGAGATATATTGTGTTGAAATTATTTTATGACTTATCTAAGCAAGGTTTTAGAATTGATAAAGTATGATTTGAGAATTTGTTAAGTATGATTGAGAATAAATACTAATCTATTGTTTATTTTGGCTCGATTTTATGATTGTCGTGTTAAGATATATGCCTTGTTCTTTATACCACATGGTGTGCTATAACTAAAAGAGCTAAGTGGTTTTCTTATCAGGGCACATGATATTATCCTTTTCTTTAGTTGAGAATGGGGTAAGCTCAATGGACATCTCATACCACTTCAGTGTGAAAAGAAAAGGAACCATTAATCTAATTGTGAACTCTATAAAAAGTGAAATGTACCAGCTTTACATTTCATGTATGTTGAACTTCATTTAAACTAATGATAAAAACAATTTACGAGAAGATCCCAAAAGATTCAATAATTAACTTTCATCATTCATCACCTCTAAACCTAAAAATCAAGGATGATCAAAGTAACAAAAATCGTTAGTAAATTCAGGAGCTATCCTAACAATTTTGTTAGCAATTCATAAACGTTCTCTATATACAAAGTTAATCGATTTATGTCAATCTCTATAAAAACAAGTTTGCAGTTTCAACAATTATATCATGAAAGGATTGAAAGGAGTCAATTTTCTTGTAAGAAGGTTCATGGCATCCACACTATGACAAAATGTTTCCACTACTTTAATACCCCTCACCCCTGGCCTAACACAACTCTAGACCCTTTTGAATGCCTAGGAGCACTATAATATTTGTAAGGTGACCAACAAGAATTGAATATAGTAAAAGATGCTAGTCTCTCATAAAGTGGTAAATCAAGATTTGAATTTTTACTAATAAAAATATCTACATTTAATAATTGATCGTATTTTGAACATGATTGCCTCTAATAAAAAAATACATGTGAGCATTAAAAAAAAACTATAGGATCAACAAAACCCTACCCAACCTCTGTACTTCCTTTGGATAGCTTCTCCACAATAGCTTGACCATTTTTGTTAATCACACCATTTATACCCATGGTAAGGTAGATGCTATTTGGATCAATGGCAGATTCAAAACCCTGAGCCAAGGATGCAAGATAGTTTAATTTAAAAATACTAATTATATTGAGACTAAAATTGTAATAATATAAATAGATTGATTATCTTTTTTCTTTTTAAAAAATTATATTGAACAAATTGAGAGTCTTTTTAAGTAAACATGCTATTTATATCTTATGTCAATTATTAAAATATTATATATCTAATAAGCTTTTAAATCTAAATATTTTTTAGAGAGAATGACATTCAAGACCCTCTCAAGGGAATTTATTCATGGCACTAATTTCATGATCAGTAGAGCCAAACATTTTGGTACAACATGTAGTCCATATATTCCAGTAGATAAAGGCAAATATGACATTCCAAAATTGCTTCTTAAAGTCATTTCTATGCAGATTTGTTGTTGAGTTTAGCGTAACCCACTCAAAACAATCGAAGTTGATGAACTCACTCCATTTCTCTGGCTTAATAATCTGCTTCAACAATTTTCATGCCTTTGACAGTTTCTCATTACATGCATAATATTTTCTAAACGCCACATCTAAAAGAGCGTTCATTGTTGGAATTGGTTGTTCTCAATCAATTGAGTTCATACCAAACTATAGAATCAATTGCAACCAAATCCATAAGCTTGAATATAATCCATATCAATGAAGAGGAATAGAAGAAATTGAATGTGAAAGCATACCTGAATCCATAGTCAAACTTATCAAAAGATTCCATACATTCATGGATTAACGTACTGTGATCTTTTATATTGTAAATATTGAAAACTTTTATATGGTTTTCTAGATTGTGTCCAAAGAACTAGTTTCTTGTTATGCCCAACCCAGAGATCACAATCCCAATTTATAGACTTAAATCGTGATATTTACAGTTTGGCCACTCAACAAATTATAAATATCACTCTAATTTTTACATATTAATTCCATAACAATTACAACCCTTAAGCCTTAAAGCTTGTCCAAATAGATCACTTTATCTAATCTAAATTATAATAATGGCCATACATTATTAATATTTATATATGTGGCTCCATATGTTGAATTTCATTCTAACATTCACCTATTTGAATATCCCACGTTGAATCTTGAGCTTTGAGGTAATTTGTTTTGAGCAAGGAGCCAAATAAACATTTTGATTTCCCAAATAAAAAAGTAAGCATATTTTATATTCAAGTTACCATCAGTTGATGGTTCCCAAATGAATTTATCTTCTCTACGATCATCTCGTTTCTAGCACTATATTTAACGCTAATAGCAAAGCTAACAATGTTGGGTGGGTGGTAGCCATAACCATTTTTGCTCTGTCCCAATCATCCCATGGTGTCAAGAAACCAACACTTGCTTCAATGTTGAAAGATTCAAGTCCTTGACACCTATACCTCCATTTTTTGCCGTACTACTTACAAAATGCATTTTCCACATCATTTTTGGAGACCTTTTCATGTTATAGTTGGGGGACATAATATTGAGGGACATAGAAAGTTGGCTTAAAAGTGAATTAGATACTCACGTCACTTTTAAAAAAAAAATAAATGCATGCCTCTTTGGTGATCACTAATTTCCCACAAGAAACTCCTACTCTTCCTTTCAAAATCCTTCATCAAAATAAGGATATTTGCATATAATGAGGGTTTAGTAGAGAGCACGGATTTAGTGAAGATGGTTCTCCCTGCAAGATTAAGACATCTTCCTTTTCAGCTTGGGAGTTTTTTTTTTTTTTTAGGACACCTCCTCCCAAATCAGATTATAAATGTTGATGGAGGCTAGTTTATGTAAAAGAGGAATTCCCAAATATTATTCAAGATTTCACAAACTAACTCCCAAACTCTCATTAAGTTGAACCGGTCTAGAATGATACTCCATGCTTTTTTTATTTTTCATAAATATTCTTCTATTGAAAACAATTTTATTCAAAGTTATGGGCATTGGATGATAATCCCTTAAAACATGCACCCTAATCTTAATCATATTTAGAGTCGATAAAACAAGATGGGCTCAAGCCATAAAACTTGCTTACCTTAAAGTAGAATGATTCTTTAAGCTTAGCTTTTATTAATCATGCTCGGCCCATATAGGCTTAGGCTTGAAAGCATGCTTACCTTAAAATTAATTAATTTTTTAATCTCAACCATTCTTAATTGAGCTTGGCCCATATAAGCTTAGGCCAAAAAAGCTCACTTACCTAAAAATTGATTAATTCTTAAAGTCAACCCTTATTAATTGGGTTTAGGGTGGTGCAAGTAAGCCTCTTTTTTTAATTTTTAAATTTTTTAAAAAATTAATTTTTACATTATAATATTACATATTCTTAAATACAAATTATAATGTTAAAAAATTAATATAAATTTTAATTTTAAAGTACAAATATATATTCTAAAATTTAAATTTAAT